GCACCACATGCCAGCCAGTCCCGCCCCCTAGTGGGCTGAGCTGGCCACACACACACACACACACACACACACATACAAATAAAATTTAAAAAAAAAAAAAAAGAATGGGAAATGCTCTGCACCAAGGAGTTGGAAGGCAGCAAACTTTATTAGGCCAACAGGCTGATGGGGGAACACGCTCAAAGCCTTAGCCCTGAGCTGGCTTTGGAATTGGCTTACGTATTTATTTAGTCTTTTTCAGACAGGGTCTTACTACACTGTTCAGGCTGGTCTTGAGCTCCCTTTGTAGCTCAGCCTGGTCTGGAACTTGCAAAAATCCTCCTGTCTCAACTTCCTGAGTGCTGGGATTACAGGCATGCACCACCATACCTGGTTCTGAAATTGGCTTATATAGGTTTGGCAAGCAAGAAGTACAGAAGCTTGAAAGTGTGGTGATTTCTATTGGTGAGTGTTGGTCATCCTTCATTGCTGGGAAGAAAGTCCTTGAAGTAAGTAATAGTGTTGGTCATGTCTTCTTGCTAGGAAGCATAGGGTGTCTAGCTCAATGCAGACAGACTGAGCTGGGTCAGGCCATCTCTAGTTTGCAGCTGGTATAGCCAAGCAAGGCTAACTGCATTTAACTGTTGAACTATGTGGTGGGCTGGATGATCACATTTTGTCCTTGTATGGTGTCATGCTATTAGTTGTTTTGTTTTTGTCTGTTTGAGACAGGGTCTCACTATGCAGTTTAGGCTGGCCTTGAGCTCACTCTGTAACCCAGGCTGGTCTCGAACTCACAATGATCCTCCTACCTGAGCCTCCCAATTGCTCAGATTGCAGGCTTGCACCACCACTTCCATTTTATTAGTTGATTTTTTTAAATTTCCATCACACTTTGGGAATGTAGTAGTAAATTAGACAGATGGAAGCTCCTTTCTGGAATTTACATTCCAGTATTGGAGGGCATGCACTCTGCAAACGAAACTAGTTCAAGTCCCAATCCCACCACTATTATTAGCTCTGTATGACCTACTATGTAAAACAAGGACAGTGATGGCTTTGACTAGGAAACTAGACTGAAGTGGTTGCATTCTAAGTATACTTTGAAGGTAGAGTCAATAGGAGTTGCTGACAGATTAGATGACAGGAAGTGCCAGAAGTAGTGGGTGACTACTCCAAGGTTTTGTTTTGGACAGTGGGAAGCTGAATATTGTCATTTATAATCTAAAGAAGGCTGTAGCAGAGACAGGCATGTGTGTTAATGCTGACATGCCGATTAGATAAGAAGTAAAAGTAACTGTAATCTGGAAGATGTCTTTCCCTCCCCCCCCCTTTAAGATCTCTTTTTTGAGTCTTTGCTTTACGCTAGAAAATATGGGGGCCGGCCAAACAACTCAGCGAATTAAAGCACCTGCAAGCAGGGGCTGGAGTTCCCCGGCCTGCCGTGCGGGCCCCGCCCCCGGGGCACACTGAGACAGCATTTGAGACTGGGTGTGGTGGTGCGTGCCTGTAATCCCAGCTCTTGGGAGGCTGTAAACAGACGGATCACTACGAGTCCGATCTAGTAATGAGACCCTGAACACCTGTAGAACCTTCCCTAAAGTACAAGACAGAGACAGAGACAGAGACAGAGACAGAGACAGAGACAGAGACAGAGACAGAGAGACAGACAGTATCAGTGGAACGATACTCTTAAGACCCACTTACAAGAATTACCTAAATTTCCAAGCAAGGACACCAGATTAATGTACTTGATACATCACAAATATTATCTTCTTATCTTCATAACCTGCACGGTGACATTTAATCCGTTTTTCAGATGAGATAATTGAGAGAAAAAAAAAATTTGAGACAGGGTGGCAAGGTGTGGTGATGGCTCAAGCCTGTAATCTCAACACTGGGCAGGAGGCTGAAACTGAAGGATCGCCACAAGTTTGAGACCAGAGCTACATAGTAACTACAAATTGCCACCCTGTCTCAAAATTTTTTTTCTCTCAATTATCTCATCTGAAAAACCGATTAAATGTCACCACGCAGGTTATGAAAATAAAAAGATAATATTTGTGATGCATCAAGTACAGTAATCTGGCGTCGTGTAAAGGGATCAATAACGTTCCTTCTTTTGAAGCCAGGTTAAAAGCTTTTTACGTAGTGTCAGCCTTTGTAACAATTACTATTTCTACAGATGCCGCTAAGAGCTCTCATCCGGGTCTTTGAATGATGATTTGTGAGTCTGGGTGGTTTAAGGAGAAATACGCAAGAAATTAACAGGGGTGGGGTGGGGGAACCAGTGACAAACTGCCCCCTGTGACCACACTTCCCGGCATCCTTCGCGCAGTAGGCGCTTTCGCGGATTGGACATCTCCGGAGAGGCGGGCGGCGGAGGAGGGATAGGCGCGAGGTACTGTGGGTAGGAGACAGCCGTCCGTAGAGACGCCATTTTGTGGAGCGGCCGAACCCTGTAGGAGGTTCTGGGGTCCAGAACCGCTACGACCATTGCGTCGGTCCCTCCTGGCGGTGAGTGCGGCGGCCGTCTGTAGTGACCCCTGGTTCTCGCCGTTGGAGCTGTTCCTTGAGCCTCCCTGTCAGCTTCTAGAAGCAGTCCCTTACCCCAGCCGGGTCTCTCGAGGGATAGAACTGCCTACCCAAGCCGTTGGAGGGCCGTTCCTTTCCTTGCCACCAGCTCTGTCAGCTTCCAGAGGTCGACTCCCAGCTTAACCCCGGCCTCCATTCTTTTGGGCTCTAAGTTTCTCCCCGCTGGGACGTATGCCCTCATCGTTTGCCCGAAGAAGCGGTGGTGCGGTCGCCTGTCCCTCGGGCACCGCTCGGGAGCGCCTGGCATTGGCCAGCCTCCATCACACCGCAGCTGCAGCTGAGTCTCTCTCTCTCTGAAAGGGTGTTTGGTTATGGCAGTCTGCGGCCTGGGAACCACTTGTGAGACGAGAGGAGCGTATGCCAGGGGGTGAAGCTTGATGCCCAACCCTGCCGCACAGGCGGTGGCGCCGCCATCTCGGCCCCGACGCCCTGGGAGGTGGGTTCGGGCACCGCCCGGGCGGTGAGGGGCGGCACCGTCGCTTCAGCCTCGGGACTTGTTTTCCCCCAGATGATTTTCTCATTTATTAATGAAACATGTTCACTGGGCACTTGCTCAGGCCCGGTCGCTGGCGATGGCCCTATCTGCTCTCGGACCTCAGGTGCATCGAACGTGGTCCAAGTGGTGATGACTTATCAACCGCCTGGGGGTAGAGGGCTGGGTGCTCGCCATTCTGTGGCCTGTGATGGTCGGGTCAGACGGAAGACTGGTGATCATTGCTCCCGAAGAATTAGGTCGGGTGGAGGTTTGCTTTTGTCTTACAGAAATAGCTTTGGATCAACTTATAGCATGATAAATGTAGATTTCAACCAAATCAATATGCAGGCTTTAAGAAGTCTTTAAATTTTCATAGAAAGTTTCGAATTTAATGCTTCATGAATTTCATGTTGAATTTCTTTTTAATGAAGACGTTTAAATCCGTGCTTTAATGGTCACTCATCCTATTGGAGTTGCTCAGATACAGAATGTGAAGAGTTGATTGCTTCACCTCTGCCTTTTTTTTTTTTTTTTTCCCTGCTTTGTAATCCTAAAGTAGGAGCTGAGAAGTCTTTCGTTTTTCTTTTCTTTCTTTTTTTGCGGTACTGGAGATTGAGCTCAGGACCTTGGGCTGGCTAGACAGGTGCATATTCTACTGAACTACCTTCCTGGTCCCCTGAGAAGTCTTAATGCTTGTGTCTTTTTGTGAGTTTCTTATTGAAATTCTTTTTTTCCCTCCTAGAAAATAAAATTTGAGCCTTTTGAAGCCTTTTGCTAGATCTTCAGTTGAACAATGGGTTCAGACAAACGGTAAGTTAAATACAAGACACTTTTAGTATAGACTGAAATATTCCATTTAAAATTGTTTTACTCTAACAAATACTTCAGTGTTTGTTTTGTTCCAGGTATTGACTAATAAGCACCATAATAGTGCTGCCGTCACAAACTGCAATGTAGTAAGAGAGTTGAAATACTATGTAAACTTTATACTATAGTAAAAGAAGTTTAGAATGCTGTTAAAACATATAGAAAGCGTGTTTTTTTGTTTTTGGTGTTTTTTTTTTTCACATAATCAAGAAAGCATCCTGGAGAAAGATCTCTCAAAGATAAAGTCTGGAGGTTAAATAAGAAAGAAAAGGAGGCCAGAGTAGGGTGAGCCACTGAGGGTTTCAAGTATGGACAACAGCAGTAGACCATACAAAAACCTGAAGATCATCCAATGCCTGGCTACATCAAGCAATCTGTTGTTATCCCCTAAATATCGAGTTGAGATGCCTGCAGCCATGTGTTACATGAAAGAAAAAAGATCCAAAGAATTAGTGGAGAATTAAGATGAGAGCATTTGGCTGCTGTGTCAACTATGGATATTCCCTAAGACCATTTGACTTAAATACAGTTTTCCTTTTTCAGTCAAAAACTGCTTTAGTATTGAGGCCAGTTCTTGTGATAGATAAATTAACTGCCTAGAGGTACTTGTTTATGTCACATAATGTCATCATTTTAATGCTGCAGCAGCAGTCTGGTTCCAAATAACTTACTAAATTAACATTTACCCTTTTAGCCTGTCTTCAACTCCGTACTTAATGATCTGAAATATCCTTAAGACTACTTACTTGGATGCTTTTTATTAAATTGTATATAGTAGGGCCCTGAAATTTGTGACGATTACATTCCTACAGTACCTGTGAATTGTGAAAAACTGGATATTTCAGATATGATCAAAAAATGCCTATAAATAATTTTTTATAGTTTAAACCCTAAATATGCTATGTCTTCTACAGTTATTTAATAAAATACTGTATTAGTAAAGCTTTAAAAAGTACAGGGTGTTTTGGTGGCATCTAAGGGATCTTAGAGCTTTGAGAAGAACAAAACCAGCTGGGTGTGGTGGCACATGCCCTGTCATGCCAGTACTCTGGAGGCAGGCAGACTGTTGTAAATCTGAGACCAGCCTGGGCTACAAAGTGAGCTCAAGGTAGCCTGCACTGCCCAGCGAGACTTTGTCTCAAAAAGGACCAAAAAAAAACCAAACAAAAAACCTGGAAATAGCTACCAGTGGTACAACCACCTCTTATGATGTAGGAATACTGGTACCCTCTGCAAGATGGGTTCAGGGCAGCACCTAGTCAACAGCAAACTGAATACCACTCTTGAATTGGCTACTTGAAAACTTCCTGCCCCCCCAAAAAAACAAGCCTCCTGCCTCAGCCTCTAGAGTGCTGGGATTACAGATGTGTGCCACCACACCTAACTGGATTTTTAAAAATTTGTGAAGGATATTTGCATTTTCTTTCTTTCTTTTTTTTTTTTTTTTTTTGGCAGAACCGGGGATTGAACTCAGGTCCTTGCATTTTCTCGAATGCCTTCAGGGCACTTTTGGCCAGCGGGAGAGTTGTGAGGTTCGAACTCCAGCAACCTGAG